ATGAGCCCTCGGTTGCCAAGGAAACGCTCAAAATATTTACCCTGCAGGGGTGCTTGTGTATGAGGCGTTGCCATACCAACATCCCAAATATAACTTCACTGGTTTACCACCAGCCAAAGGTCAAGTCTGGATTCCTTTGTGCTCTTAAATGTTTGAAGCTGGATCAACAGGTGCCTTGGCACCAAACCATCACTCGCCCGTATTTCAATCATGCATGTTTACAAGTTACCCTACAAAATGTTGAAACATTATCATCATTCTTAGAAACAGACTGTTTATAAATGTTGAGATGAAACAACTGATTCTATCCTTTAATTCTGTTTGTAAAATTCTATGTCCGCGACAATTATTATCACAAGAATGTGTGCGCCCAAGTCAATATATTGTTATCAATTAATGTTTTTTTGTGGGTTCAGTTATGATGTTTTTAACTGTTGCAAAAATTCAGTGCCTTTTTAAAGATATTTTGGTATATATTGTAAAGGGAACAGAATTGAGAAATACATTTAATGTTAAAACATGTTAAAACAAATCTTGCTATTCTGAAAGGATAGTGATTTCAGTGTACTTTTTATGGATTTGGATTTGCTCTTTAAAGTCAAGTTTAATCGATTTTCACGATGAAGTTCAACCTTTTAAAGGTCAGACCAAAATAATGTTATAAGCGTTTGGATTTTCTTGTCTTTTTTTTCAACATAGCCACCGTTATTCTCTTTCATATTCATACTAACATAGGTGTTTTCCCTGACTCGAGGAACAAACACTTGTTCGACCTCGTATTTCAAGTAGGCTTCTATAACGGTGACGCAGGGAGCATTCGATCTATAAGCCCCGAGCTGGACCAAGAGAGGGCGCAATTTCCCAGCAACAGACTGCGGCTCCTTTGATGGAAACTGCACATCGCTGGTTTGCGAACGACTATATGGAACGCCAGCGTTACCGTGAGTCGCATCGCTACCGACAAAATGAACACTCGCCACAACGCCTCTTTTCAACCGTTGAGGGGGTGCTTCTGCTCAAGGCGGATAGAATGTCGACAAATCAGCTCAAAAGGCCAGTGTTAGGCCTACCACACTGGTCGAAGAAATCAGCCGCTGCATTACCCCCCCCCCGTGTGTTAGATTCGCAACACCAATCTGAGTACATTGCACGAGCTTGTTTACAACCTCATTTGTGGTGTCTACTTCCTTGCTGAAGATCCACTTAATCATATCGGGACTAATAAAGTAATTAAAATGATATGAAGTTCCTACCGCCTTCCAAACACAGTAAATATAAACGTTTTACAACCAGCCTGTCTACTTATTGCAAAAATCTGAACAACAATGATTCCAGAGCAAAAGAAGTTGCAGTTGCATGCGCAACAGTCGAAATTAAACCTCTTCGACCTTCGCAACTTATCGTTAGTTTAAGACGGAAAACAAGCAAGGCATTTATGCACAACTGTCTAATCTGTTTCCATTTTATTACATAATTCAATTAAGTCACGCTCTTTTTCACCAGTGTTGCATTTTGGCTGTGGGCTAAAGATATCTTCATACCTAATCTCACCAGGAAAAGAAAGTTAGCCAAATTTCTTCTATAGAGCACCAGCTTTTGTCTCGGACTAAGATAGCAAATTCTAATAAGCTAGTATTGACCAATCCGAATCAGGACTTCAAACTCACTCATCCCACGTTGACCAATCCGAATCAGGACTTGAAGATCATTCATCCCACATTGACTAATCACGTCATTTATCAGCCTGAAGTGACTGGTGCCTGTTTTTAACGGCTTTTTTTTTACTAGTTCAATGCGTCAGTGGTGAATCTGTGCGTGGAGCAATTCCCCATGAAACTCAACGCGATGTGTTTTCATGCATTTTTAATTAAAAAAAACAATGTCCAAACGATGACAATGATGGCTACCGCATGAACCAGAATCCCAAGAGCGAAGCTCGCCTCGACATAGCCTACAGCTTGGCCGGCTTCGACGCTCGTTCGGCACCTTCGACGTCTCCCACTCGCCAACGGTTACCCACCTGTTTATGAAGAAGACGAACCAACTTGAGAGAACTTAATTAACTGTTCGTTTCTCGACGGGACGTGCCTACTGTTTCGAGCGTTAAATCCAACAAGTTTATCCACCCCAGTTGCACAGACATAATGGTTGTATTTTCACCTGGTATTAGGTAGTACATGTATTTACATCTGGTGATCTGAGGGATTTTTACCACGCTGTGAATTGTTCTTTACACATGCACCGACGACCGACCATAGTGTTAGCGGACACTTGTAGGAAAAACACGACTGTGACGCCAATCGAGCAGCCTTATTTGTCCAAGTTTTTTAATCTGCTCATGACTTGACTCAGGCCATGTCAAGATATTTGACTGCGGCTTGGAAGTACACTCTTATCTACGGGCAGTTCATATACAGACATGAAGCCCCCAAGTCCAAGAGTTCTTTTGTCTGAAGTGTCGTTCGCTGGAAGGCCTATTACCGCAAGGTTTCAAACGTTCAAAGGTCCGATTGTCCGGAGGGTTCGAACGTTCGAAGGGCCCGTTCGTTGAGACGTCCAAAAGACAGGAAAGTTCAATTTGTCCAGATTGGCGGATCTCTAAAGGACTGATTTTTCGGGGGGAGTCAGACTGGAGATTTTTTTAGTTGTCTCATTTTTGCGGACAAGCAGAAACGATGACGAAACATTACACATGGGATACATTGTTTAAATTGGTACACTATAACTTTAGTTATTTCCGATTATTTCCCCTATTTTTATTTATTTTTTTTTTATACTTTTTTGGGTATAGAGCAAGGGAGTTCGGACGCCCCCCCCCATCCGTGCCTGGTCCGATAGTCTGAACAAACCTTATCGTCGATTCTGACTCTATCGAATTTATCATCTATTCGAACTGTCGGATGTTAGAATCGATTCGGAATACTGAACCTTCACACAGGCGAGTGTTGTTTTAGTTTTGGAGCCTTTGGACTATAATTCTATATTCAGACTATTGAACTAATTAAACTTTCAGACTAATTACTAATATCTGGGGAGGTCTGAGTAGCCTTCCGACAAAATGCATCCAATTGCCATTGCTATCCAAACTAACCATCCCTATTTAGATTTTAGACCAATAAGCCCCGTGTCATGGGAAATTCGAGAGTTTAATGATCAAACCTCGATCCGAAACAGATCTTTGGACAGGTTCATGCGATAGTCCGAAGGTCGGACAGTCGGAAGATTCAATGATCCCAAGATCCAGTTTTCTGAGCGCACAAATTTTCCATATTTGCCCAAAACGAAATAGGGTATGTAAATAAATCTGAACTCTTTCTGGCAAAAGTCTGAAAGTTTGATAGTCTGAAGATTCGTTGCTCCAGAGGCTGCAAGGTAGTCCGTATTTAGCGTAAGATTACTTAGTTCTGAGGTTTGGCGGTCCGAAATGAAAACATTGTTAAACTGCACGAGGGTTTATTGCTCTGTAATTAACTTACTTCAACTTACTTCATTTGCTTTTATCAACGCCACAATGCCGAAGGGCAGGCAGCACCAAACGGTCACAAATAGAGCACATCCGAAGTAAGATCTGGGTTGGCTGATGGTGGTCGTTTCGATGGTGGTTTCAGGCTGTGGCATCATCTGGTACAAGGCAAAAATATTTCTCGAATGCTTAAAACCAAGGGAAGATCCGGAGGAACAAAAGGACCCCCCCAAAACAAAGCCATTTTAAAAAAGTATATAATCGGAAAAGTCTGATTTTGGATCTATTTCATTTCCATCCTTTAATTCCCAAAGCGTGTTAAAAATCCCCAAAACGTTGCGCGTCCTTGGAAAGGCCGTAAAAGGTTACATACAAAACTCCCAAACATAACAAAAATACAAGTTTGGCTCCCTCCCTCCGTAAAATTGGTTCTGGAATCGGCCTTGATTGAAACCGAGAGATATTTGAAGCAACGTGCTCACTACTCAGACCACGTCCGAACTACATTGCCAAGGCACTGGCTATATGTGGCCATTTTGCACAAATATATTCATGTTTAATGTTATATTCGAACAAGCACTGCAAAAACAAACAAACAAGCAAACAAACCAAAACAGAATAAAACAAAATCATCAATGAGAACACATAAGTGTCCAAACTTGAAGTTGGCCGACAGAACAACCTGAATCGTGCCGAGAATTTATTTCTGAAATCCAATTCGAAGTAAAAAAGTATATAGGCCTACTCAAAACAATGTGGCATACGCAATTATAAACTTACTATGGCATTGACTGAATTTGCAGTATTGATAGGAGGGGCAGAGACCACAGGCTGTGTGGGCGGGTATACTTCGTAAGTATACTCCTGGACCCGAGTGTAATGCGCATGCCGGCATCCTACTTGTGACACAGGAGTGAACCGCGCGAACGCATCCTCGCTGATCCGCCGCGGGTCATAGTCCATCTAGCCGTTCGAGCGCTAACACGAGTAGCTCGCTCGAACGTACCCAATGAATCACATTAGCGCCGTCACTGCTAACAAGTTGGCGCTTGTTTGGACTCTCCTCATCTCAGCATAATTTTTTCAACCGGTGAGGGGGTGCTCCTTCATATGCATGATTAAGTGTTTCGCTGTTTGTATCAATTGGAGTTGGAACAGGACCAAATAAACCTCATAATGATTCGACTTGAAAAGGGAACATAGAAAATATTTTCCTTCGTCCTCGTGGCGCGTGGCCGTGACCAGATGGACAATTCAGGGACCGGGAGCCAGTCTAAGTAATTAGTTGAAGTAGGCTGGCGCGGCACCCTGACTGGACTTCTCGTATACTTAAAAACATGGTACATGTACAATGTACATGTACATTGTAGGCCTTGCGCCTTGTAAAGGCATGTCACACATGTCACGCATGTATGTAGTCACCGGTCGATCGAGAGGTAAATACGAAAGGGAATTCCCCTCAGACGGTAAGTACCAGGCCCACTTCCAAAAATCACATGATTTCATTGTAAACGGTGAAAATGAGGAAATCCGCGCCTTCATGTGAAATTCCCAAACGCGTTTTCTTATTTTTATGAGTGCAGTGGTGAACAGTCAGTCAGTGGTGGGCCGTGGCACTGGCTGGGTGATGCTATGGTGTAGGCATATCGTTCAGTACCACAGACCAATACATGATGGTGACCATTTGACTGAGCCGAAGGCTGGCTATTATGGTACTTCTAAGCCGTAACTAGTGACGGGATTGCGTGAAATTATCTTAGGCTGTCTTTTATAAATCACTCAGTCTTTGGTATATGTGCTGAAAGTACAAGTTGCGTCGTCTGGACTTAGGAGTTGATTGCCTCAAACCCCAACGCAACAGTGCAGACAGTGAATTTATAAGCACTAGGGCCTATTAGCATTAACCATCTACAACAGACTGACTAGACAGTCAAGAAGCCGGAGCTCATCTGCTGAGGCATTCAGGATTGGGCAAAATTGCAGAACTGTGACAATGCTGTTCTTTGTTGAATTGATCAGAAAATTCATCGTGCTGTCAGGAAGTTGTTACCTCTGTGTGGTTGGACACATTTGGAGGAGCATTAAATTTGTTTGTTACCTGCTCTTTTTGCCATTCAGACTTCTGTACTTCAAATGCGTCGGTGTAATAGAATCCTGTTTAGGCGAGGCTGATCAACCGATCGTGACTGGTACCCGTCGTCGGAGTCGGCCAAAACGGGGTGGGCGAAAAAGAGCAATGCGGCGAGCCAAACGGAAGAGGGCAGTCGGTCAAAGCATGCCAGGGGATAATAAAGCAAACAAGAAAGTCAAGGATCGGCTGTCGTTTGTCGCCTCCGGCGACGAGAAACAAACCAGTCTGCACAAGTTCTTCAGCTCTGCTGAAGATGTGCATGTGCAGGCAACGGCGGACAGAGGAGGGATCAGGGGAACAATTTCGACCGGTTCCGCATCTTCGAGTCTGCCTTCCTCTCCAAGGAGAGGAAAATCTCGGCAGTCCCACTCAACAAACTTTTCAGAGATAGACTCAGCTGAGAATGGGCAGAAATCGGGCGCATCTAGAGGGGAGGCAAAGGGAACGTGGTTTGATGAAAAAGCAACCAAGACAAAATCGCAGCAGGGCGCGGCCAAGTCACAGACAAACGATCGAGACCAGGCAGCCCTCTCAAGTGACTCTGGGAAACCTGGAGGGTCAAAGGTCAAAAGCGAAGATTTGAAGAATGTCCATTCCATCAGCGACTCAGAGAGCGATACCTCATCAGCAGACACACAACCACAGACACCTAGAAAAAGTCGGACTTCTTGGTTGGTGAGTACTCCCAGCTTTCCACACAGCAATTGGTCTGAAAATCGGTGGCCCCCACAAGTGGCTACCGCTGTTTTGATTCAGGGGTGGACTTGACTCTTGACTTCACTAACGACTGAACTTACTACAGTGGTACCCCTTTCTTGCTAAAATGCATGCAAGCACGCATCAAGCTTTCAGAGCTTGGGCGAGTGTAACACTGCCAACCTTACATACCTAGTGTGGACCAGTGAGCAAAGGAGGTCCACAGAATGCATATTGTGGACTAAGCCAGGTCCACACAAGGGTAACCTCCTTTCTGGACCACAATTTTGGAGGCATATTTGAATCGGAGTCATTGGTAGCTAGAGGAAAAGGAGACAATCAAGAAACCCATCGACGAGCTGTAATAAAAGAACGTTAAGTTTGCGCATACATGTACAGGTACATTTAATTGGCCGGTTCTTGTTAGCTGAGCATATCCACACCGGGGTATCGCAGCTCACATCATAAGCTGTCCACAACTACTGATCCAGGAGCAAATTTTTTTTTTTCGGAGGGTTGTGTATTTGAAGAGTTTGTGTGGGTTCTCTCAAGACTCAAGTTCCTCGTGTGCGGGGGTTGATTTGAGGCATGTGCTTTGAATTCTCAAATTCCGTGCAATGTTTTGCATTCTCAACTCAGGGAGGCATTCGTAGTTCACCGAAAAGGCAACCAGCCAGAGCCTCCTCTCCGTCAGCCTGGAGTGCACGTGACACGGAGGCTTACCGGAACCGCTATCCTGTAAGTAGGCCGAGACATTTGCAGTTTTGTTGAGGGGGACCGCATTTCATGAAAGAATTAATGGAGTGCCTTAAAGCAGTTGGGTGCATAGCACAGCCAAGGAATTAATGCCTGTTATTTGCACACGCAAATAACGCACACGAACAACAACAAATCAGCAAAGAAGAGAAAATTTAGCCACACAAAATCAACCAAAAAAAATGTCAGACCTTTTTGTGTACAAACCAATGCAACAGTTAGCCTAGAATGACATCACAGTTTCCCTTATGAATATGAAAATAGTTATTAGCATAAAAACCAAAAAGGCATGCCCTCTAGAGAAACAGAAGTTGAAAATGAGGTTAACTGAGACACAGTGGCGCATTTTAAAGATTTGTGTTAAAACAGATGGATTGCAGCTATCCTTCAAACAGTCACAGCTGAGTTCTTGACTTCAGAAAGTGGGAACAGAGACTGTAGAAATCCGATGTTTGATTGTTTTTGAGCTTGAAAACTAGATTTGGAAGCAACTCATTCTCCTGGCACTAGTTAGTAGTAAGCCTGCATAATTTTCATTTCATTTTTAATTTATTTTTAAGTTTTCAATTCTGTCATCAGAATAAAAAGGACGACAAGAATCTGAAGGACAATTGGGAGTTCTACAGCAACAAGATTCCATCCAAGCCACGGGGTACGTGCTTATGCCGTAAAATTGTCAGATTTCTTGAATTGTCTATTTCTCAGAGAAGATCAATACAAGTTTGAAAAAAAAGGTGCCTGCACTCAGTAGAGTGTAATGGTCACTTTAAATTGGCTCGGTAGCATTGGGTCCAAAAAAGGAACGACAGGGTTCTGAGACTAAGTTTTAAAAAGCACTTCGTTTTGTATTCTTTTTAGACTGCCCGTCGGAAGTCAATTATCAGCACAAGTTTTGCCAAAAGCATGAAGCTTTGATTCTGCTGAGTTCTTTATAATTCAGTGCTTGACACCAATTTTCCTTCTTTTTGGGGCAGGTACATATATTGATGTAATGCATGAACACTGGTTTGGAGATTACAGTCTTCTAGAAGAACACCATGGTTACATCCAGTGGTGAGCTAGCAATTCCCCTTCCGGTTTTGCATTTTCTCCCAGGCATTCATTTTGTTTAAGGAGAAATGCCACGCAAATGTCTTCCTGGATTGCAGATTTTGTTTTCCACATGATAGGATCATTTTGAGAACTGTTGTGAAGGCAGTGAAGCTGGCATACAACCAGCATGAACCTGTTACTCAGAGCCGTATAGAGATAGCAATGCAAACTTCAGACTTTGGAACCAAAATGGCTGTTCGTGATGTGTGCCGTACTGCCAGCAGCTATTGTGTGCTAATGCGCTGATGCATAATCCACCATTTTGGTTCCAAGAATAAAGACACCCATGTCGCAACTCTCTCTTTAAACAGCTCTGCCATTGCCAGGAAAATTGCGCCCTCTCTTGGTCCAGCCCGGGGCTCATGAGCCCCGGGCTGGACCAAAAGAGGGCGCAATTTTCCACAGTGTCTCACTCAAAACAAAGGAATTGGGAAGGAAAAAGTAGAATGATGTCTTGTGTGTTCCTTTCCCTACTTGCTCCCTGATTTGACCCCAAATGTTCCAAGTTCTGAAGTCCATTATCTGGTGGTTTCCCTCCCCAGGCTGTTTCCAATCCGAGAAAAAGGGATGAACTGGCAGTCTCAGGAGCTGCAGTTGCACGAGGCAGAGGTACAACACGTTAAAATTTCTGATTCCTGATTTACAACATTGTTCTTGGAACACCGGACAAGTTCGGCTGTGATTTTTGGTTCTAACAAAATGCTCATCTCAGGCAAGATGCTTGAGCAATATTTGTCCAATCCACTTCAAGCAGGAACAAAACAAAACATGTTTTGGGAATGCAACGACGGTCTTTGGATGGCAACTCACTGCAGGGCGCACAGGTTTGTGGGCATTCAGCTGGGGACAAGCTGAGCAGGTTCAATCAATTTCTGTCTCCATTTTCGAGTCACTTATCGGTTTGAATTGCACCTGCAGAGGATTTGTAAAGATAAGAAGTGTTGCGAGCGTGTCATCAAATCCTACGAGTTGATGCTCGATTTCTGGGGGATGCGTCTCAAAGACAGACGAAGCGGAGAGATTGGGCGAGCAGACAACTGGAAGGAGAGATTCCAGAACCTAAACAGGTCAGTCCAAACTTGTTTGGCTTTAGAGAATTTCAGGCCTGAAGATAATCATCATTCCTGTGGTCCTGTTCAGAGGATGGACAGTGACAGTAGAATGCTCTTGTCAGCGTTCACTGGGATAGCTTGTGAGTTGACTTACACAGGGGTGTGAGAATTCAGCTTTCGGCAGATTTCAGCTTCTTTTGTTTGACCCTGAGTTTTAGCTTTTTGGTACACCTAGTCTGTACAAAAGTACTGGAACTTTTAACGCTTCAGCTTTTTGCTGGCTGTTTTCAGCTTTGAGTTTAACTGGCCGCCCACACCCGCGATTATAGGTAAGACTTGTTTGCTTAAGATGGACCTAAAGAGATGAATAGTCGAGTGATATGAATTACTCACTTTTGAGTTTGATATTTAATTACAACATTCCATTTGCTGATAAGGCTGGGATGTTTACATGCTAAAACGAAAAAAGTTCCAAATCCGTTACAACTTTTCCCGAACATTTAGACGGAACCGCCTCTTTTAGAGGTTTGACGTTCCGATTATCACAATCTGGCATTGTAAACGATGCCTGTAAAATGTAATCTGATTTTCAGAACACTTTACTGCTCAGTCATTTCAAAGGAATACCACGAATTCATCACCGGAACTTTGTGTCAACTATTTACATTGTATACAATTTGATGTGTTTAAAGTTTTCAATTTCACCGTGGCAAGAGTGGAATTGTTTTTACACATTTAAACGTTTAAACGGTGTGAAAAAGTTTTTTTAACATTTGTCAAATTACACATAAATTCCCACCCTTGTTTGAGAGATGATGAGAGATTCGAACTCCTGGTATGGCCTAGCCAAACACCCCGTGTTCAGGCAGCTTAACTTTGGTTTTCTGGTAAATGAGAATTTACGACTTGTAAATCGTTGTTTGCTCTGACCCGCACCAGGTCATCCCACAACTACCTGCGGATAACGCGGATGCTGAAGTCCCTGGGAGAACTGGGCCACGAGCATCTCAAGTTCCCCTTCCTGAAGTTCGTCCTCGGCGAGGCAGTCGTGGAGAAGACCCTGGCCAACGCCCAGCGCAGCTGCCTGCATTACTGGGTACACACTCTAAGAATCAACGCAGAACGGTCGGCGATGCAGGACTTTGCTGATACCCTCCTCACCAAGAAGTCTGGCAAGCATTGACTCTGGCAGGGGTAAAAGCGCGACAAATTTCGCTTGTCTTTGGACTAAACCATTAAGCCAAAGTTAGTCTTTGCAGCTGTTCAATATGGCAGATTGGTATCCTTCAAACACTTTCTCCGAGACTGATAATCAAGTGAACAGATTTTTGGTTGAATTTGATGTCATCTTTGTGAGAAATTATTACTGGTAAATATTTCTTCAATATTTTTTGCTTGCATATTATCAAACTTCTGATTGACCTCGAGTGGATAGCAATGTGTGTTTTCTGTGTCCGCCCGACTTTGGTGGCCCAATCCTGGAGCAGATCCAGAGACACATTTTCGAGGGATGGGGGTGAAAATTGTGAGGATTTCCTGGTGGGATTTCTCACATGCGGTGGCCAAGTTTTGGAGGCTTTTTACGTAGGTCACAAAGGAAGGGAATTGTGAAAGGCCAATCCAATATTAAAAAAACCCCTGATTTTGTGTCGGGGGGGGGGGAATGAATGTCTTAGCCCATTAATCTTCCCTCCACCAACACCCCTACCCCCTCCACCAGGGCCTAATGCACGCTGCTTTCGATCGTAACAAGGGCGGATCACAGTCAAATTTATTGTAACCTTTTACTCTCTTCTGAGGGGTAAGTCTACATTTTCAGGCTTTTTACGGACTGTTGTGTGGAACGGAAATAAAATGGACAAAAATAGAAGTGCCTTTCACTATCCCCCCCGAGTCGAAGTTCACCCCCAATCAGTAAAAGAAAGACAGGTGGTTGTAAGTTTTCCATGCAGGTTCTTGCACGCATTCTGCATGTACGCAAAGATCATACATTAAGGAATAAATTCGTTACGTGTACTCAGCGTGCTCCGCGTCAAACGCGCCATTGATCTCCGTTATAAATGCACCCTCTTTTGTTCCGCTTGGAGTGGATTACAAAAAAATGTTTTTCTTCTTAGCTTGGGGGAGAGTGGTACCTATTGCTCCTCCCCTGCCCCCATCCACCCTTGATCAGGAATCCTTTTCTTGTCAAGTGCACTGTCAAAGTCCTTAGTGGGCCGTGCTGTTCATGTATCACATGCACTTGTCAAGGTCACCAGAATAAAACCACACAATCGTTGTACAAATTGATTTCAAACATAAGGTTCAGTGATTTTTATTCCAGTTATTAGACAAGTGTTTATTAGCAATATTACTAAACTATCCAGAATAAATAATTATGTTTTTTACCAATTGATTTTTTGCCCATCATTTTTTAATGCAGCACAAAAAGTAGAGCTCAGATGCAGAATATTGGGCTACACGAAAGCACCTTTATTACAGGTACTTTGTTAGAATTAACAAAAAAACCCATAATGATTTAATTGTTTATAATATTTTATGATTACTGAAATAAAATAAAGATGATGGTTTACTTTATATTGAATTAACATGAGACGTGTGTTTACTGATCTTTTCTGTTTAAAATATGGTACATATAACAAAATGTTCATATTATGGACATCAGCTTCACAGAGTTCTTGAAAACTGAAAAAGGGGAACTTGAAACGAGTCTAGTAGATGTGTACCTCAGTTGACGTTGTTCGCATGGTGTCTGTTTGTCCGCGAGTGTGGTTGCCTGGTATCCAGGCGCACAATCCGAGACGCAGTGAATGCGAGCACTCAAGCGTAACCATCCAACGACTGCTGTGAATCCGTTGGTGTGCATCTTGCCCTGACCGAATAGACAGCTGTTGTACATGTACACGTAAAGTGAAAACAAAACTCTTAGACACGAAACAGTCGCGAGTATTCAACCGGTAAACATGTGGGCATCGGCTTAGGAGCATCCCAACTGCAAATAATAGAAAATGTTGCTGGGCCCCAACAGAGAGATACTGTCTGTGTTCAGAGGCAAGCGATATTCAGAGACAATCTCAGCTAAGTAAAGATTTATATTGGATTTCCCTCGAAACAGGTGAGTAAATTTCTAAAGTTTCACGATTTACTAGGCCTACTAGTTCAAAAGTGTTAAACCTTGCAGCGATGATGTCGAAGATGATGCAGAACCCTTTCCACAATCTTTGAGGTCATGCCCCTGGGTGCATACATACGGCTCTGAAGCCAGTTAGCTTGCCGAAGCAAACATCTGACAACCATACCAATGCTAGGTCTGAGAATAGAAAAGATGCTTCAAAATGTTGACCCTATCTCGTCCATTCGAAACACATACACCCTTGTTCAGCGAACGTGATCATCAATCGTTTCCCTTATCTACTCAATTTAATTTGTAAAATGTTGCATGTATCTGGTGAAATACAAATCTAAGTTTGATGAATTTAATCTTTAATAATTGCCACTTTTATTTTGTCAAAGTTTAGGTACTAAGGGAGGAATTATTTTTCGGAGGCTGTTGCCTTTTCGTGTGGTGTGAACCTCAGTAAGTCAACATGGGTAGTGGGGGTTCTTCGTCGGCGCGACCGGCGGCTGGAGTTGCGGCTAACGGAAAGCCACCCAAGGGGCGGACCGGCAATGTGACGAACACTGATACAGACATAGGTAGACGTGGGCCGACGCAAGTAGTGAGGCAGTTGTACGCACCCTTTGGGGCACCGGTAAGGGGAGTGGATTGTTTATGTCGTTATTTGCCTCTTGAAAGGCATGGTCCGATGAAAATGGCTCTTTCGCTCGTTGCAAATGAACTCCAAATCTCTTCCGTATTAGCTCCATGCCGAAGCCAAGCAGATAACTCCCGAGACATGTCCTGTTTGGAAGAAAGAGTCATCTTCAGTGGGCTTCCGAAAGCGACCAAATTATACTGATCGAAACGTTGATAGCCGTCCATCCGTTCTTCCACGAACCAGAACCGGTAGAATTATTTTCATTCCTGAAATTTCAATGCCCTGACATTTAAATTTTCATGATGTTGATCTCTCTGGTTGGCAGGCCGTTTATCACGGGACCGTCCGGCCTAAGCCTAACTTCGATGCCTCTAAGGAAGCCGAGAATCTCAAGGTCGCCATGCAAGGAGCAGGTATGCCTGCGGCTCCGACCACAGTAGGAAACTTGATACCCCTCCTCAGCTCAATGGAGCGTGCAATTCGGAAGTGGAAATGGGATCGTGGGGACACACCAACTCAATCCCCAGCCAACGTCGTCTAAATCTCAGTGTCAGAACCGAAAGTTATGGATCTCGTCCTTTTCTCAGTTATCGATCTGATCTCTAAGAAGGAACTGATAAGAATGGATCCGAAATGCCCTTCCTCCGAATCTGGAAAGATAATCTTTTAATTAAGCTAAAATTTGCTTGAACGTTTTTACCCACATGGAAACCAAAACATGATCTTATGGTATTACAAATGCAGTCTTGTTCTTTTCCTTCAGGAACACAAGACAATCTATTGATTGACGTGCTGACGTCTTGTGATCGAAGCCAGAGACAACTGATTGCGCAGGCGTACCAGAAGAAATACGGAAAGGTGGGTTACCCATGATGCTTATTAAAAATGAAGCCACCTTCATCTCAACCGTTATATGGACCCAACGACATTCTTGCCTGCTGCAAAAACTGGCTTAACGGTGTCTGCTATCTTTTGGAGCCATAACGAACACGGCTATGAGCGGCGAGCTGGATCAAGAGAGGGCGCAATTTTCCTACTAACGGAGGCTCCTTTAGTCGGAACTGAACTTTGCTAGTTCACGAATGACTATGAAATGCACCTGTTACGGTCGCGTTGCTACCAGCAAAATGAAAACTCCCGACCAATGTGGCTCTTTTCAATCGATGAGGGGGTACTTCTGCTCAAGGCGGTAGCTCTTAAATGCATAATATTTTGGCTATAACAGTTGGTTACAACGATTCTTCGCACACGTCGGCCTTGTCATGTCTTATTGTCGGCACTTCCAGAAACTTAAACTGATAATCTTTGTATTTCCCTCCTTTTTTCAGGATCTTCTGAAAGACTTAAAAGCCGAGATCAGCGGCGACTACGAAAGCGTGGTAGCCAAGCTGATGGAGTCGGCTGCTGGGTACGATGCCTGGCTGCTGCACGAGACGATGGATGTGAGTCATTATTCCCATCTCATTAAACATCTTTTTAGTGGAGTTGCGCGTCATGCGGTTTATCACGCGGTATTCATAAGACATTTGACGTGGACAAAACTTCAAGTTCTGTGCCTCCAGGATCGGCAGTTGAGCGAGAAAGATGTCCAAATCCTTTAAAAATTGCGACTTAAAAAAAAATCAGTTATATGAGAATAGAGTTATCGAAGAAAAGTTGAAGGACGCCCGAACCTATGAGTTCCTTGATTTTTTTCCAGGGTCTTGGGACGGATGACGACGCGCTGATAGAGATCCTTAGTTTCCGGAGCAGAGAAGAACTCCAGGCCATCCAGGCAGAGTACTATAATAGTAAGCCAAACAACCTAGAGGCAACAGAACGACAAAAACAAGTCGTTACATTTTATGACAGGGAATTTGCAGCGACAACTTTATACCACATGTTTCTTCCATCTCACACGCCCCACGCAAAAACAGCAAACATAAGACGATTTCAACGTTGGATTGTAATTACAATATCATACATGTATATTGTTTCTGATACTTTTTGTGAAGAAATCACTAAAAATGAGATCAGATCTTTAGCCCCTCACCTGCCCAAATAAATTATTATAGTTTGCCCAATGAGCAGTTTAACCAGTGAATGAATACATAAACAAACAAAAATGGAAAGTATAAGGGCAAGAAATGTCCTGATTATTTTCCCACCAGGATACCAGAGACATTTGGCCGAGGACATCAAAGGCGACACGAGCGGAAACTTCGAGAAGCTCTGCCTCAAACTGATGGAGGTACTGTTCTCTCTTGCTGTCCTTAAATCAAGTCTCCTCAGGATCACTTCGTGAAAGTAACGATGTGATATGATAACGATTATGGGCAAGAAGAATAAAAGTCATTATTGTGTCACTTCCAAAGTAAATATTGTCTTATATGAGACTGATTGATTGATTTTTTAATTTAATTGTTTCGACAAACGTGCAAGTAGTACTGCCATTATATCGGCATAACCTTCAATGTGGAAGGCTTTTTTCTTTCCTTTGTGTAACGCAACTCGTAATTGGCTGCTTCATGTTCGACGTCACTGAATTTTGTTCATTTTCATTGGACCTTTTTTCTGTCAGGGCTGCAGGGATGCTCCTCACGTTCTGGTGCCGTCGTTTGCCGACGCAGACGCCAAGACCCTTTTTCAGGTGATTTGTGAATAATAACATTATGGAACCCACTGCATTATGGGTATAAGATTCCTTCTGAAGGGAACAACGAATGCATTTTCCAGGTGGTATGCGTTTGGGTTAAACTTTGACATTTTTATCATAACTCTGCGGTACTGTCGAAGGGTGACTTCAAGTCATGACAGTTTAGAAATCCGGGCAAGACTACCACATACTAATAACAACATTTGTGACCCACTCTGTGAAAATGAGTCTTAAGCCACCAGAGCCACTTTGGAGTAAAAAGTCCTTTAGAATAATTTTGCACAGTGTAAATCAATAGGAACCCACAGCATTTTTCACCATGGATTATCCACTTTCATCAGGATGCCAATCTGAGTGATACTTCAAAACAAAAGCCTTAATTTGCTCTTTTCAATACAAATGAAAACTCAAAAAGTGGCTCTTGCGACTTATGACTCATTTTCGCAGAATGGGTCACATTTATACTATGTACTTTCTAAGAACCTTTTAATCAAATACACCCTTCAGAAACTACAAAAACTAATGCAAAACCATAACAAAAAGTAACCCCACTGAAATTATATTAAAGCTACAATAAATAACAGACGTACCGTATCAGTAACATTCTACGTGTCAGCAATCGGTGAAGTGACACGGAAAGTCGCTCATTGTTTACACATTGGTTATTCTTTCAACTTCTAGGAAGGCGAGGACAGAATTGGAACGTGGGACGATCTGTTCATAGACGTCTTCACTTCGAGGAGTTGGGACCAGCTGAGCGCGGTCTGTGACTCGTACAAGAGGGTATGGCAGCAGTCAATTTCAGGGCGTGTCGAGAATCTCAACGACCTAGTAGACACTGTAACAGGACGTCCTCTACGTCAACAGTGGTAGCAGTGAAGACAATGTTCGGGCAAAATGCCGACTGCAAATTAATTTAGAATTCATTTTCTTACATTGATGCATCTCCTTTTACGAAAAAGGGAATAGCATTAAAACAAGAATAATTTGATCTACAATTTATGTCAAGATGTACCTTTATATGATACAGTATAAAACAATATCATTTTCGTCTCCTTTTGTAGCTTTACGGCAAGACTATGGAGGAGGCGCTGGAAAACGAATTCTCGGGAGATATTCTCTTTGGACTAAAGAAGCTCGGTAAGCTGGGGAAAAAATGTCATGTAGCAACAGTTAGCCACATTGTACTTCATAAAGGTCAAAAGAGCATCCAATTATTGAGTACAAAACTGCGGAAAACATTGGAACCCACTGAATTTGAAAAGTCCCACGGTCCGTGAACAGGCGGTTTTGAAATCAACAGTCGCTCGCGATGCAGCTTGTGTGTGTAATCATTCCCATCAGCCCTCCTAAGTCAACTGCAGTTTCCATGAAAACGGAAGGGCCTCATTAACTGACCTCGTCTCCATGGGCTGCGTGCGCGTTCCTTCACTTAAGGGCCGTGTCCGAAACGGGCTTCTAGAGCTACGGCTAGGTCTATTGTTTGCACGTCTCCACGCATTTCCAATGGAGCGAAGACCTAGACCTAGCTCTAGACAAGAGATTCGGATGCAGCCGTAAGATCGCACAAGCATTGGGAACCAACATGGCGCGGCAAGATCGTACCCTTGGGGACGAGGTAGAGCCCGAACTATTTGACATGCGCTAAATGAGTGTTCTTTTGTCTTTCTAGTGGCCTTTGCGCGTGACAGGGCCGAATATTTCGCCACCAAATTGTACAGCAGTATGAGCGGTCTGGGCACCGACGACGAGCAACTGCAGCGGCTCGTCATCAGCCACTGTCAGGTAGGTTGTCGCTGGTGTGTGTTCGAATGCTAAGCTCAGCTTTCCACATAACGTCACACTTGTTCACAACGCCCGTGCCAATTTCTTCAATTCCTAACAAGTTCTTTATCGGCCAGATGGCTTTCCTTTTACTATGCTAACCTCCAAAAATACACCTGTGTCTTAGTTAACGTCATTTTCATTTTTTGGTTCATAATTTTGAAGTTTTTCTACCTCTTCGAGTAAAAATCTCGGACTCACAATTTGAACATAAAAACCTCTGCACTGAACCATGTCTCCCCTAGATGACATCACAGGAACAGCGCCCTCAGTTGTCCAGGAAGGCCTGGACAAATTGAAATGTTTAAAAGGTTTAATTTTCAGCACATTTAACCAAATAAATTATTAAAGACAAATGTTTCTGTAAAGTTGGAGAACACCCCACAAAATGTTTCCACTCACCCTTTGAGGGTTCATGCATTCGTTCTGCTGTTGGTAAATCCGAAAATTACTCAAAATCCGTCTTACTGGTTTTTCACCTCAAAAAAGTGGGGGGATTCAATAACCCCTACCCCCTGGTCAGATAGGGGGATGTAACCCGCCCCCCTTTTCTTGGGATTCACGCCCCCGTGACAAAACGAGACTTAGTTTTTTTCGTCATGAACAGAACCAAACGTATCGACAGTGGTCGGGAAAAGTCTTTTATCTGTTGGCATCACGAACTTATAAATGGAAAGGCTTGTAAAATTCCTTTTCTTTCGTTTGTTTGGTTTTTGGTCAGTATGACAAATGGAACTTATTTGTCGTTGTGACCAGAGACAACGAATCACATGTCTTTGAGCGTGCTGTGCATGGTCACATAGCTCAATCAAGGCAAATTATGGAGCTCCAACTTTCATGTTTTTCAGACCGACATGCTGGAGATCAAGGAAGCCTTCAAGAACAAATTCGGCAAGACGCTCGGCAACATGATTCGAGACGACTGCTCCGGTAACTACAAGACGGTCCTCTTGGCTCTTATCAATTAAGAATTTCGCTCAGACCATGAATGGTGGGGCTGCCCCACCAACGAAATCGTTCCAATCCTCTGAGACACAGAAAAATAACGGTTGCTTTATCTTCCCGCACGCATCATGCTGGCATGCTTGGAGTGAAGGCTTCTCAAAAAGATGTACTTGTACACACTTGTGGAAAAAACCGAATTGAATGACCCATCTCCGACTTATCGACGCAGCTGGAAATGAAGAATACATGTAGAAGCGAGGAGAAAAGTGGTGCCAAACCGTAAGATATATGCAACATTCGTTTGTACCCCTTGGGTTGAACGCTAATTGTTTTGACCGCGATTAGCACTTGTCCAATACCCTCCAACATCACGACACTCCTTCGTAAGTAGAAATGATCTAAACCGGCTCCACCTCTAGTCCTCAAACTCAAACTTATTTTATCATACCAGCAAAACTACATCTGAAGTCGCCACAGCTTAGAGATAGTTTTAAGCCGGTCGGGCGGGATTCTTCTCCTTGCACCTGTTGAGGTTGAAATTAATGAAAATCGACATACATTTCTCATTTTTTGTGGGACTGATCGCAACAGTCACATAATTATTTATTAGCAACAATTTATTTTGAGTATCCCGTACAACTACGGCTCTAAATACGCCATTTCAACAAACAAAACCAGCAGCTCCCTCAGCAGAACCAAAGCGTAAATATTTTTACGAACGAATTTCCTCATTTGGACTATACGCTAATATAAAGTATTATTTAATTACATCTTGAAGTTGTAAATGGTATTAAAAATTAATTCTTTTCTTTAAGTCGTCCTGATTCTAACAACTCTTGCGGCTCTATAGCCGCCTTATTGACAAATTTCCGTCCAGTGTTCTTAATAAGTAATGTTGTCATGCAGAAGTGTTCAGTCTTTTTCCAGTATTTATAACGTGTATTATTATAATGTTTATATTACGCCGTGGGGACCGATTTGATTGGGACGCTAGTAAGCAAAGAAGCCTGACTAACTATGAGAGTATTTTCATTGGGCTAAAAATTTCCAAGCCCACAATTGCTGAATACGGAATTTGTCAAACCTTTCTAAACGCGCATCGTGATTGGACAACGCGTTGCAAACTCCTGGAGGCGCACTATTGTGAAACGGTTGAATTGAACTGGTTCCCAGATTTTTCCATTTTTTTCCCAGAAGTGAAAATAACGTTAAGCTGGAACGCGTCATTTTTACATACAGAATCATCGCTTCCCTTTATACATTTATATATGAGAGGACATCAGAAACTGCAAGATCGGAGATGGCACTGCGTTTGTCGACAAATTTTGCCCAAAGGGCTAAAAGAATGTATTAGTCAGTCATAATAACTTGGTAACTTTCACGAGTTTTAAAGATGTATTTCGCTTCGGGGAGATGTCAATTTTGATTACGGGTTTTGCCCTGATACCTGACGTATTACGCTTTTAAATATTCTACATGTACAGTTATATTCAGTGCTTGTCCGAGAGCTTGCGAAAAAGTCCACAAGCTAGTCAGGTTGGACTCGAACCCAGGACCTCCTGCTTACTAGTGCAGATGGTTTAACCATTCAACCACCGAGCTTGCCGGTGTGGGCCGGCTGGTTAAAGTCAGAATGCAGCAGCGGGCCGGGTACCGCAGACTATTTTCACGATGTACTTTGCGTCGGGAAGATATGAGGGTTACTTCATGAGTTTTTCCTTTGCTGTTTCAAGATGGCACAGACACAGCGCACCCACACATCTGTCGTTTTTCTCCGTCCCAGTTTAAGACAACTTTTTGCATTGCAGTATATTTGGCATACTCTGCGGCTGGCCGACAGCACACAAAGACAAAAGTGCATTTCTCAAAGTTTAATTAGAACAAATCTCATGTAATTGTAACACACTACATGTGTGTACCAAATGAAAGCCCGTCCTTCTCAAAACTAATTGGAAATGTGTACATCTTTGGGCAAACAGGTCCTGTTTCCGATCAAGAGTTGACTTTTTGCACACTCTGTCCACCCGTACAATATACCCAAACAGTGACATTGGGCACTGGGGAAACACTGCGAAAATACATTGTGAAAGGCTATTTAAAAACGCTCGGCACTTCCATGAAATATGGACCCAAATGAGACATCTTTTTATTTAAAAGAGGCATTTGACAATCAAGCTCGTATGCTTATACATTACAGCAATATTACCTCTTGGTACCAATTCCATGATTTTATTTCTTCCTGCGTTGCAAATCATGTTGAGATTTCTTTTAATGGAACTTTACCCAGTGTCTTTTGCGTGGTAGCTATTTCATAAAAAATATTGTGTGTTGTTTAGTTCTGATGACTTTGTTGGTTTAAAATCCATACCTTTCACACCTCTTGATTGGGTCAACAAGTTTTTGTTATTTAGTTTTCCAAGTTTCATTACTGAAAATATAGACGTGCTGTATTCTTTAGGAATAATGTGTACAGTCCAATAAATGCTGTAAGTGTGATAAGATAAGGTCTTTGATCTAAGTCTGTCCAGGAGAACGGACCAGGAACTGTAGATTTGTGCTACTTGAAGAATGCACCCTCACTACAAACTGCTATTTCATTTGGAGAATGAACAACTTTGGCTTCAAATTGCGATGCCAATTTTGGAGTTAAATAATAACATTGAAAAATTTCTGTAAAGCGCACATATCCACCTAAAATTGCTTATAGCGCTACAAACATTAGCAAAACAAGACGATTTACAGACTAACACTTCAATCAGATGATTATACAGGAACGTTTTAAATGAACTGATACATATACTGGACCGTACACTCGGGGAGCAGCGATTCCGACAGATCTGTCACCTCAGGACCGGTGTGATCTTGGGACAACTAGAAGATTACATGAGTTTGTGTCAATTCAATTAAGCGATAATCCAACATTGTAAAAAAAGGCCTGGGCAACATTTACTTACAGAACAGCAGCCAAAACACATCAAATTATTTCTTATTGAAAGGTGAAGAGAAAATTCAAATCCTTGTTGAAAATTTTGCTTTATAAAGCATTGATCTTGAAAACACGACAGATAACAAACTATACGTCATTTTCTATGGAGAAAGACAAACATACACAATAAGTCCGGAGTGTGGGCGTTCCCGGTAGCTGTTAAATTTTTAACTATACCCATTACGAGGCCCAGTAGAATCAGTGTCACGGCAGACCAACTTTTCACTTTGATAGAAACGAGGAGAGGAGTAAATATGAGGAAACCTTCCTCGTCGTTTTACAAAATTACAATTCCTGTGGATTCGTGACGAATCTAATTTACAGTTGATAATTACAAATCTACAATAATTGTTTGGAAGCAAAAGCTGTAACTTCGTAACCTACGAAACTACAGTATCGAACAAACGAATGACTTCACAGCAATAATCTTAACTAATCAGACCGTGATGTATCGCCAATTTAATGCAATTATTTCCCATGCTAAACTGAGCCTAGCTACGGGAACTATCCATTGAATATAACTATACTGAGCAGAAAATGGATAGGGGTTCAAACGGTGGTCACTGTCTTCAGAACCCAATTCTCGGGGAGAGAGAATGAGGAAAGATTATGACTAGGCTCAGTTTCACTACTCTCTATTTTAGGGAAGGGGCTTATGACCCCTCCTCTATCTGCCAATAATTGGAGCGACCCCGCCCACTTATTGCCGTGTTCTCTTGTCGTCACTTTCAGACGGTGAATTCGAAGGCTTCAGTTGGAACTTTCAAATTATCCAGGCTCGTTTCAAGCTTCCAGGGCCTACCTGCCCGTCCTATTGCGTCTGAACGGCAACACCCGTCGCCTCTTCGAGACGACCATCGGCTGCCATCGAGGCTTGTAAGCCCAGGGGTTTCGCACCGTCTTCCGGCTGGCCCCCCGATGGTACGTGGTGGCGCGGTAGGGCACTGTTCTCGGCGCCATCTTTGGCTTGCCCACTGGAAACCCTCCTTTTTTCTTGAAACTCTTCAGGAACTTTGCATATTTCGAAGACCCGATGCTTTTAAAGTTTGGCCTTTCTGCAAAGAACAAACCAAATCAAGTTGGAACAAGGTAATGCTAAAACTCATAATTTTTATCTTTCGTAACACTGCATGGTTTTGACCAAAAATTTCTGAATTTAATTTCGCAATTTCTCTTTTAATGTATAAAAAAGATCAAGTAAATACTTGAAACTTAAATACTAAAATTTAAAAATAGGGACCTCGGAGAATTAAACAAAAATTAGTTTTTAATTCAAAACTGTAATTTTCCTTCTGTTGGTTGGATTTGGGGGTGCGACATGTCACCAACAATGGGGCAACTCCAAATGAACGCTCGTTTCTTAAAGCATTAAATATTGATTTATTTTTACACAAGCAAAGCCGCTCAGGTAAATACGTCCCTTGGAACAATTACACCTCTCAAGGTCAAGGTATTTGCTTGTCTTCTTGTCATGGACGCGGCTCCGCTTCAAAGCCGGTTCAGACTTCAGGCGAACGTACGCGAAAGCGAACTTTGACATCTTGAAGCATTTCCAACGAAATCCGCATGAGTTGAAATGCCTTCAACTTCTGCTGAAACAAAATGATCTGCTGTCACGTCATGATTGCGCGTGAGTGCTCGCTTTTGCACTGAGTATAGGCTAACAAGTCTTGAGACTAGCTCAAAACCGTTCGCAAGTTCCAAAATGAAAGTCCTCGACTTCCGTTCCTCTTCATTTGGCGGCAGACACGCTGACCCCGTGAATAACTGTCTACGGACCTGTGCTAGTCCACAGAGTGCCAACTAACCTGCCTTCACGGGCGTCGCTGGAGGGAGGAATGTGGGGGGTGTCACATCCCCTCCCCCTCACCCCACTGGTCAGTTAATTTTGTCGGCAAAATCATGGTGCTGCCGGCAAGAATGGAGAAGGAATGGGGAGTGTCTCGTGTTGGGTCGGGGAATCAGACTATACCATACATGCATAAAGTCCGACGGTCCGTCTGCAAATTTCATGATGGCATGTACCCCTGTCTAGTGATGCCCGTGCCTGCTATTACCTGGACACCTTCTATTCAGAACCAACACTCACAAAAAGAGATAGTTCATACGTGGTGTACCAGGGGTATAACCACAAACCTAACTTATCACCTCACAATGCAAACCTTCCAGAAGTTCCTGGACACCCTGTGTTTCCAAGTCCTCGCTGCACAAGGCCTGCACAACCAGAAAAGCGACCACACAAACTTTGGTGCAAGCGGACAGTACCTGCCCCCTCCATGCCAAATTCTTCTCGCGCAGCTTCGCGTGCATGGGTTCATTCTCGTGTGCCTCGTTTTTTTCCCCCTTACTCTTCGCCTTCTGTTTCTTGATCATCTCCTTCAGCTTCTCTCGGCTCTCCTTAGCCTCTTTCTTCCGCGCCACGTACAGCTGGTATTGCTCGTTTTCCACGTAGTGCCGCTGCTGGTGCCGCGCTTCCTCGGGGGTCAGGGGTCGGTTGCGGAGATGTGCCACTGGAGGGGGGGGGAATTGAAACAGTGCAAAAGAATGCGGGCTGTTCATGTACATGTAGACCACACCAATACGGGGAAAAAAGACAACGATGCGCATGGGGACGTCTGATATATATTTGTCGTCAATATGGGCGTTAAAAGTGCGCATCCAAGAGTTTGCAACGCGTTGGCCAAGCACGATGCGCCAAATCTGTCGAACCTTTCCAAACGCGCAATGGACCGACAGATTTCGCGCGTTGTGATTGGCAAACGCGTTGCAAACTCTTGGGGGCGCATATTGTGCATTGCCCGTATATCCTGCCGTTACGTACAGGGAGCCTCAGGTGTAGCGAGCTTTGGTTTTGAAGAGACGGAGCCATCAATAAACCGACACTTATAATATGGTATGCCTTGCATTAAAAAAAAATGGTTAGCCTCACTTCTTCAGGGCCAAATCTAGGTCAGCTTTCACTATACCGGACAAATTTTAGTTATACTTAATTGGGAAGGGGGAGGGGATAAAATAATAACAGAGAGAGAGAGAGTCTCTCTCTCTCTCTCTCTCTCTCTCTCTCTCTCTCTCTCTCTCTCTCTCTCAAGAGAGAGAGAGAGAGACAGAGAGAGCGCTCTATGAATAATATTGACCATTCTTTGCAGTTGTTTTTATATACTTACAATAATCGATGACTCTTGGTGGCCTAGAAGTGGCGTTAACTTGCGATGGTTCTTGTTTAGGCGGTGAACCGTATACTTTCCCGTTGAAAACATATCGCCCCTTTAAGCCTTTCTTCAGTGCCCGGCGAATGGAGCGTGCCCTGCACAATGTTCAACATATATTTGAAATGGAAAAAGATTAATTCATTTTTATCATTTTTTACCATAATAATTTCTACACGTGTGTGACTTGCAGACTGAATAATGGCCTGTGATTTCTGATTCGTTTTTAAGGTACTGTTGGTCGTTTTTGCTACAGCTTAAACTTTTTAAAAGTCTGCCCAGATTATGTCCTTTGTCCCTTTCACTTCCGGGTCTGAAGACCTTTTGTCTTCCAAAGCCAACGTGGGATCACTACATCCTAAACTCCTCCCATCGGAAACAAGAAGAGGAAAAAATCTACGGTTCAACTAAATTGGTCTTAGAGAGGTAGGAAGCGCTTCTTCCTGACAAAATGAGGAAAATGACTAAAACAGAAAGCAAATCAGGGAGATCAGAAGGCCGGGTTGAAAATGTCTTAGAAATGCCATAGGCCTACCCCAATCTGCTGCTGATGGTTCATCAGTCAGTTTCTGTAATGTAATTTGCTTCCCTGTACTCCTGGAGAAAACCACGCACCACTTTAGCGACGTCATGTTTCTGAAGCCTTACCCTTTACGCCTCGCCTTCGGAGGTACAGCAACCGTGCTGTTGGTCGCGTCTTTGGCCAGATGCGCGGAGTCTTTCGGCGTACCGCGGTCCCGTCCACGGAATCGTCGGCGGAATAGCGCCTCCCACACGCTCCTCCCCCGGGGGACTCGTTTGAGGAGCTCGGGGTTGGGTTCGTCAGGGTTTGTGTTATCGTCCCTTGGTTGCGGGTGGGGGGGCTCCCGTAGGAAGGATCTGACACGACGGCCTGTAGAGGCAAGAAAGTAGGCTTCGTTGGCTTGCTCTCCAAGAACACAGGATATCAATTGTTATATCTACTCGTTTTGGCGGCTAGAGATTGCATAAAAATCCCTTATTGTAGGTTTCAGTTTTAAACTAAAAATCTACGTTTGCCTGATTAGTACTTGTTGGCTGGGGCGAGTTAATTCAACTGGATGCGTTTCCTCAAAGTAAGGATTGCTGTCCAGTGTTTCACTGAGTGCACCGATCTCCAAATCAGGTCTTCATAGGCACAGGCAAACATCTGAACATAAAATAAATGCTGTAGGCTAGCCTTGTTAGATCCTTCAGGTTCTACAACTTCAACAATTAGGACTCATGGTTCCATGGTTCACTTCACTTTATGTCACACACAAAGGTCCACTGAGTACAGGACCAAAATATCGGAATACCTTCAGGTGTTGAAAAAAATGACTACAAAGATTTGAAATGTTGCTTTCATGTAGCCTACCGCTACCATCCGAGTTTCGTCCAGGAAGTTCCGGGAATCGGTCGCGGACAGCCGCTCCGGGAAGAGAGTTCTTTTCTCTACGGTCAACACTGATCAGGAACGCAAGAGCGGTGACAGTCAACAGGAGTCCCACCAGCCCAAGACATGCAAGATGTTTTCTCGCTGTCATCGTGGGCTCCAGTTTTAGCTGGTCAGTGGACAGCTAAGCCGGCCCAATAAAAGTTTCATATTTCTCATAATACTTTCGGGTTTTTTTTGTTTGAATTCGTATATTGTATGAAACGCGCAGCGCGCATTGGACGCGCGCTACACAATACGCACACCACAAAACTCAACTTTCCGTAGGCAGTAGGCGTATGTATCTGTCCACATTCATTAAATATTTGTTTTCACCTCAGGAAATTTGAATTGGAAAGATGAGCTTGATCAATTTGAATGCGGTAAACGTACAGAGAGCTATTAATTATTCAGGTTGTTCTGTGATTCAAATGCACTTGAGGGCGCACTCGGAACACCAAAAAAAATATATAGCCCCCTAGATCCGAATATGTTGTCTAGAGCTAGGTCTGGGTCTTCGCTCCATTGGAAATACGTGGAGAGACCTAGTCGTAGCTCTGGAAGCCCGTTCGGACTCAGGCCGAGTCGTCGGCGCTAGGCAGGCACTTGGTGCATGACGTCACTACGCGAAACTCACGCTGCCTCGAAAACCCTTTACACACAGAACACTGCAAACAACACGTGGGTGCGGTGACACACGTGCAAGTGTGAATATTGAGCACACGGTGGTCGCCTTAATCCGTTTATTTTCGTGACTTTGTGTATCATCAAGACAACACGTGAGAAATTAGTCTCTGAGGAATCGCTGGCACACCTACGTGAAATGGAGTAAGTACAATGTATTTTACTTTTATTATTCCACACTTGACAGGAATAAAATTCATAGACCTAGAGGCTCCTGGAGACCATGGAGCCTGGAAAAGCCCATATTGAGACTAATCCTAGGCATGCCTACAGTACATGTACACATTTCTGTGAAAATGACACGAGTAACTTTAGTAGGCCTATATGCCCACTTAGATTGTGCACACATTTGGAAATTGTTTAGCCCTTCCAAACAAGTTGTTGGGTCTGATGATGACGACAGCTGTAATACTACTACTAGTAGGCCATCCCATATGATATAAGCCAAACAAGGTCGAAAATACATTTTTCTGAGTGCTAGCCGAACTTCACTTTGTCATGCTGTGCATGTTTGAATTTTTGAAATGATAATTGATGCGACTGCATCAGGATGGTGTAGATCAGTCAATAGTAGTCTGAGCAACTTGGACTCTTATGAGTTGCCCTTTTAAAGATTTGAATATGGTCCAGCGAAACATTGCAATGTACACACACTGTATACTCATCAGTCATGTCAGTGTGAAGTCGCCAACTTGGTCTGGAATCAACTCGCTCCGAGTCAACTCCATCTCAGGTCAAGTCGATCCCAAGTCAACTCAGTCTCGACAACTCAAGATTGAAGGCAGGCACTTGGCTGCAGCATGAATAAAAATCTTCCAAGCTAGTTTTCACATGCTTTAGCATATCTGTATTAAAGTACACGTATTTCAAGAGTTCTTTGCATGTACTGTTCGTGTAAATTTACTGACATGTGCATGAGATGCCTGGCCTTGTAATTTGGGCAGGCCAGGCGCTTGGATGCATCATTAATTACCATAGATAAGAAGGCAAAATCACAGTCTTTCTGGCTGAGCTGACAAATGTTGCCATTTCAGAATTCTAACATTGCATGTAAATTTACACATATAGTCCTATACTGACATGTGCAGCTAATACGCAATGCCCTTGACTGGTTCCCTGTCCAGTCACACACTGCTTGCGGCAAATGATTGGTAGCGCAGCTCGCACTCTGCGACGTGACATGAAAGTGATGAAACAGCCGTCAGTTTTAGTGCAAGTGGGGTAAAATTTGTGCCGAGTGGAAAACGGCAACAAAAAGGCAACATTTTGTCTTCCAAATGAGGAGAAGTGCGAGTTTTCTGCAATTACATGTAGCAACCTATGGGATAGTTTACCCCATAAGTAGGCAAACAAACCAGTGCGATTTCAGCTCCTAAAATCAAGCGGATGTTTAGTTATGCCCCTTTTCGAAAGAAATCCCTATGCATCGGGACAGAGCCCGGTATGTGATGGAGGAGTATACAATACAGTAAGTCACCCATTACATCCGGATGTAGTATGTACTGTTTTTATACCTCAAATGTGTGAACGAAGACAGTGACACGTGACAAGACTCAAGGTTTCGGAAACGTGTTAACGTCAATGTAGTCAGTGCATGACATACAAGGTCTATGGACCTGATTTCCAGTTTTTATTTATTATTTTTGAAGTGCAAAATGAACGCTTTGAAAATGTACCCACAGTGAAGAAAGTATACTAACCTCACGCCTACATTTCTGAAAATAAGTTTGTACACGTACAGGCACCTCTATTTAGGGGTATATAATATTAGAATTTGTCAACTTTGAAAAACTTCTTACTTGTATGTGGGATGTGGAATTTTCAGAGATTTGTTCAAGTGTGCCACAAATAGGAAACAGTCAGCTGAATTTGTGTTAATTTCTGGATGTTTGTCGTTTTTGAATTTCAGGTTTTTAAATTTCATTACACCCAAATTGTTCACAGAGGTGATCGGTAGCATGTATTTTAAAGGTTATAATATCATTATTTACTGTAACTGAATTGAAAGTTTCAGCAAAGAGGTTTGGCAGGGATGCATGAGGAAAGTCAAGGAAACGTCGAAGAGTGGCACATTAGAGACTCAACTTTATTAGGGCCTGGCTAGTGGACTATACCTCCATATATATGGCCCTACTCCTAAACTAGAAACAAGTGGAGGAAGGCTCAAAGATTGGGATAAAGCTCCCCGGCCGTGAACAGTATCAGCCACATACAGGTATTTCTCAATTGCCTTTTTGATTAATTCCCCCAGTAGTTTATCATGTTCAATTTGCCCAAATGGCGAATTCCTGACCGTCATGCCTGTTGATGAATTATTTGTCATCTCAATACCATGATTTTGTTACTGTGATTTTCTCAAGATCTTCACTGGCAATGAATGAATGAGAAGAGTGCCGGATTAAAATATGTGGAGGCCTAGTTAGGGTGATTCCTTCACCGTACGTATTACTCAACTCCACCCATTAAAAACACGTTAAAATTACGCGGTAGCAGAATTACTGCCGATCAAGTAAGACTGCTCTAATGCCTTTTACACACTAATTGTGCGCGTGACGTATTCACTTAGGTACTCTATGTACGGTGCATTGAGCACGGCAGTGGAGAAGTGTAAAGTTTTGGCTGATCTGTGATTCCACAGTCTCCCAGCTCTTTTTTGGTTAAACTTTATTTCATGGTTTTCAAGTCTTATTTAATTTGTCAGTTTGGTCATTTTTTCGAAGGGTTGATCAGTGTTCTTTTGGTTTTGATACTTACAGTACATGTACATGTAGATTGGGCGTGTGAGTCCCTATTGATTCAGTTCCCTGCAACTTTGCCAATGAAGATTCTTCAGTTGGTGTGAGTTTCTCTCATTGTGATGGCTTGCTGATTTTCCAGGTCTGCCTTGTAATCGAATGCGCCCTGTACACCTACATTACATTGGCACACTTAGATGCTGGACCCCACACCTGCGTACCCACCTGACAGCTGGCAATCTGGTAAGAGATGACTGCAACGATGGAGACATGTAAGTCTGGATATGACATCATGCTCAGCACACGTACATGTAATTGGCACCTGCTAACAATTCTGATTTGATCACAATTAGGCAGCTGAGGTGGCTTCACCCTCCACCCATGAAAGGGAAATAGAAGAGGGGCAGAATTTCTTTTGGGGGAGGGGGGCTGCGTGGAGTGGAAAGTGGTGGAAGGTGTTATGAGTTTGTTTCTGCATTCAATTGGGGACCCTTAACAATAGAGGACAATAAGGTCCCCGATTGGCAGAGGGTCC